TTATCAAGGGTTCAGGAGAGAGGGGCGAGTGGGGAGGGATGGGGAAAACATGAGGAGCTGATACCAAGGGCTCAAGTAGAAAGCAGGTGTTTTGAGAATAATGATGGCAACATATGTACAAATGTGCTTGACACAATTGATGTATGCATGGATTCTGATAAGACTTGTATGAGCCCCTAATAAATTAGAAAATAAGTAAATTTTAAAAAAAGAATAAGACCTCATTAACATAAGGTTCCTTAGGGGCAATGGATGAACAGAATAATGAGTGGTTAGGCTGCACCTATTTGGTAACGTGTATCCTAGTAACAGATTCTACAGTGAAAACACCCAGAAGCCCAACACTAAAATTCCCATCAGTTTTCACTGGTTGAATTTTGCAGCGATAAAAAGGTGACATGCCTTATCCGTCAGACCCTGGGTCCCCGCTGAGGGAGCACCATCCCCCCTCACATGGTCACATCACAGGGTACTACTCACAGCTGGAGAAAGTCAACGGGCAGGAGTGCTCATCCATGGGGAAGTTGTGCAATTGCAGCTGGCACTCTGCATTGATGGTGAGCCTACAGAAGAGCCAAGCGTTACCCGTGGTGTCAGCAACAACCGCCTAGCTAAAGCCAAGGAGGTGTCCTGGTCCCACAGTGCAGGGACATGGGTAATAATACAAGGAACAAATGGGCTCTGGGCAGTGGATATGCTCATTCAGTAATTTGTACAGATACGTTTGCGCTGAACTATTTTGCTTTGCTTTTAACTATCAGGAACAAAGAGAATCCCTATTAGTAAAATTGCAAGTTTTGCCTAAACTAGAAGCCAAGTCAAGAGGAGACAAAATCAACTGCTGTTTTATCACGAGTTGTTTTATTGAATGAAACCCCCTTTTCATGGTGAAACTAGTAAAATTGACTCAATAGGTTTAATATCAAATTAATTCACTTGTAGGGGGCATTCTATATTTGGACTATCCCTCCACTTTTTCACAAGGTAGTGGAGTGAATTTATTAAGTATGTACATTAAGTTAATCCAGAGCCTGAACACTGACTTTTTTGAGTTTATATAAGCAATCCAGAACTTGACGTGTTTCCAATTTCGGTTTTATTGAAGCGTAACTTTGGAGACTCATCATATTTCCTGAAGGATTGAGGAGTAAATTGATGAATATCTGCTACAAACTTCTCTAAATGTACACATAATTCATCAGCATAGTCCCCTATTGCTGCTCTTTTGTTTTGTTTTATTGTGAATGAGATGATAATACGTTTTACATTGTAAAAAATCTAATACATTCTGTTGCAATTCATGCATTTTAATCTCCTCAGTGTATCATCACTTATCTCGCTTTCTACTTGTGTTTCCTATTTCTATTCATTCCTCTTTCGTTCCTAACCTTTGAAGTTTGTCCTTGGGTAAAAGACAACGTTTTGACCTTAAATGTCTCATTATTCTAACACGAGGGTGAGGTACGTTCCAAATCTGAAGGGTGACCAAGGGAAGGGTCATTGTCCTGGAATACCACCAGTCTCTATCTGACCCTCAAACCTGGTCTCTTATTATTTTGAATTCTGTTACATGTTTTCTCACACGTTACCTAGGATGTTCTAATGAGATCTTTTTCAGAACAATTGACAGTGGAAACCAACAGCATATAGTTATTCTGGTCTCTGAGTTGTAGAGACCGATACTTGCGTGAGCCATTAGTTCACTGGACTAATTGTTTCCAGGTGCCTCCCACTTCTCATCATTCCCATTTCCTCTGGATTTGGAGAGACCAACAGTTGCTTCTTTAGACAGCTGCTCATTTTAAGATCCCAGTCATTACTTACCAAAGTAGGATGTAAAACATTTTCTTTGGGAAATGTATTATGCCATTGAATTGGTGCCCACTGGAGACTATACTCTTGACCTCTTAGACCCAATGGCTCCCTCAATGTGTTTGGTTATATCAAAGAAGTTTTCATAACGTTTCTTCTGTATGCTCCACCATATTCATGGATATATATTACACAAAGGTAAATACAGATGTACAAATATCTTTTGTCAAATTCATATATGTGCGTATGTTTCTATAGCCCCACTCTTCCTCTAACATCTGTTCAGCCTGCATGTCTAAGCATCTACTTGTAAGTTACAAGTATTGCAAGATAGCATACACTATGTCATTTGCTTGTTTCGTGCTGTCTTCCTTTGAGCCCAAGTTAATCCTCATTTGCCTTCTATTCTGTGACTTCCCTGCCCACCTCAGGGAACAATAAAAACACAAAACATTTCTTTTAGTGAGTAAATCTTTTCTCGACATTAATAATAGTAGTCGCATACAATATTTTTACATTTATGATTGACACTCATTTTACTCAGCATAATGTCTTCCAGGTTCATCCACATTATGAGGTGCTCTTCAAATTAGTCTAAAAAAAAACACCTCTCAAACACTGCCATCAAGTGGATGCTAAATCATGGCCACCCTATAGGCTAGAGTAGAATTGCCCTTGTGAGTTTCTGAGACTGTAAATCTTTACAGGAGTAGAAAGGCCTGTCTCCTGCTGATCGTCTCAATCTGCTGACCTTTTAGACCATGCAGGCCCACGAGTAACCACTGCATCACCTTAAAGTCGCTGGTATTCCAATGTGTGTATTGACCAACGTTCACTTATCTATTCTTCTACTGATGTACATTTAGGCTGCTTCCACCTGTAGATGAATTTGGGCGAGTAGTGAAATGTTTGCAATGTTAGCCTTCCTATATATGAACATGGTATAGTCTTCCATGTACGCAGGTCTCTCTTGGTTTTTTGTAGTGGTTTTGCAGCTTCTTTTTACAAATCTTATTCCTCTGCTTAGATTTATTCCTAAGAATTCCATTTTGGGATGGCTATTGAAAATGGCACTCTCTGATCTCCTTTCATAGCTTTGTTAGCATAAAGAAATCCAATTTATTTTTGTATGTTGATCTTGTACATTTTTATGATTTTTTTCAATTCTTCCCAGCAATTTTCTTGCTAAGTCCTTGAGATTTTTCTATTCATAAGAGCATATAAACTTCAAGTAGACAGAATTTTACTTCTTATTGCACATTTTAGAGACTTTTAAGTTTCCTTTCTTGCTTTCCATCTCTGGTTAAAACTTCCAACACGATATTGAAAATGAAGGATGATAAAGGGTCCCTTTCACGAAGAGAATGCCTTCAGTTTCTCTCTGTTGAAAGTAAAGTTGGTAGCTGGTTTTGTATGTGTTCCCAAATTATGTTTAGTAATTTTCCTTCTATATTAAGTGCTTTTTATCAAGAATTCGTGTTGGCCATGGAATATTATGAATTCCTTAAAAACAGCAGTGAAACCATGAGACAATTCAAGATGTGGAGAGATCTGGAAGACATGATGCTGGGTGAAATCAGTCAATCACAAAAGGACAAATACTATATGAGTGCACTGCTGTAAGAACAAGTCGAATGGTCACAAGCTCAGGCTTGTAGGGCATCCCATCTGCTGCCTGGTGGGAGTGGTGTGTGTGTATATGTGTCACACAGCCCGGTAGAGAGCCTGACTTGTGCCAATGAACCATACACCATCCTTGGTAAGTATTTTGAAGGTCACATGGCTGGAGGGCGCCTCACATCAGCTGGGATCAAATGGTAAAGGGAGGTGAGGGGGATTTGTCTAATCTATGGAGTAGCTGCCATGTAAATCTCTGATGAGGTACCCCTGGAGAGTTAGATAGCCCTATCATATCAGAGGGATGAGGGATCTGATGGGGAAACAAGTCAGGAGAGGGGGAAGGGAGCAAACATGTCAGGGGGAACACAAACACATGTCTGTTGGTGGGAAAGAGGGAGACCACCTTCAGTTGAGGAGCAGAATGACTGAAAATGCTATGGGGGACACTAAAAGGGAGTGTCCCTGGTGGTTCTCACTGAATGGACCACATTGATCTGGGCTTCGGGGTGCATCCTGGGGACCCAGGTCAGGTGCTGTGGAATGCTGGGACACTGAATCCTGGATCTACAAGGTACACAGCATGCTCCAGAGGCTGAACCAGTGAGATCCCATGCAGAAATTCCACTGGGTGAACTGGACCCTACCTCAGACATACTTGTAACCCGTGGACTTAGGTCCAAAAACACCTGGTGTCTGAGAACGTGGAAGACAGCTGTACCAAGACTGTTGAACTGCTGTTAGCCATGGCCTTGCTACATCATGATCTTGCTACAGCCCTGTAAGATATATATTATTCCGACAGACATTCTGTCTTATTTTGGTTTTGCTTGTTCATATTAGGGTGTATCTCAGAGTATTATGTCATTGGGGTCATCCTCCTGTAGTTGTGTTATATGTTTTTCTGGTTTTTGATAAAAGAAACCCAGGATTGTGAACCTATAGAGACAGCTAGTAGAATAAGGAGGTGTTTTTTTTTGGGGGGGGGGGGAGAAGTGGGGGTAAAAGGCAGCTGATGTAAAGGAGTCCAAGAAGAATAAGTATGTTTGGAAACTGTTGAAGCAATTGTACAATTCTGGTTGGCGTGATTGAATTATGGAATGATATGATAGTTATACTAACTCCCAACTAATAATAAAAAAAAAAATTAAGTACAGGAATGGGTTTTGGGTTTACACTAAATCCTAACTCTAATGTAAGAACAATTAGTTCTTACATCATAGCCCTGCTCAATATTCTCTCTCAGGGAGGGAACACAGAAGGTATGTGTGCTATAGCAAAAGGTGGTGAATAAATTAGAGGGTGCCAGGCTATCAGATAAAGTAGCACTTGGGGTCTTAAAGGCTTGTTTACAAACAAGCTGTCAATTAAGTGAGATGTCAACTAAGGCCATGTGGAAGACGCATCCCATCATCAATCACCAACGGATTGTAAATCACATAATCCGAAGTCAAAGAAGGGATTAGTATCGAGCCTGGAGCCTGAATTGTGAGAATCTGGTTTGCAGAAGGTGGTGGATAACAGTGGGAGCCCACGATTCATTTGTGGGGGCTACGTACTATAAAAGCCTTCAGGGAACTCCTTGTACCCCAAATGTTTTTCTGTGTTTCTGTGTATGAACCCCAGGACTGATGAACCTATAAGGGCAAGTAGAAAAAGGGTTTCAGGGGAGATGGGGTGTACAGTGGTGGTAATGGGTTTGGGGGGCATTGAAGGAAGTCAATGTCAGGGAGTCCAGGAGGAAACAGAATGTTTGGAAACTGACTGTGGTAGCAATTCTACAATTCTGCTTGATGTGATTGAACTATGTAGTGATAATGACATGTATTCACTTCCAATTAATAGTGAATTTTTCAAAAAGGGAATTTGTGTTGGATTTTGCCAGCTACCTTTCTGCACCAACTGATATGATCAGGTGCTTCCTTTTCTTTGTTATATTTATGTGATGGATTCATTAATTGGTTTTCTAATGCCGAATCATCTTTGCTTACCTGGTATGAATCCCACTGGGTCATTATATCAGTCATATATACGGGTTTTATTGATAAGATTTTGTTGAGAATTTTTGCATCCATGTTCATGAGGGATATTGAATATAAAATGCACTTTCCAACTGATGTACACTAGATTTGGCATGCTTTCATACTTTCAGTGTGGAAATACCATACTAGCAAATTCTCCCTAAAGCTGAAGCTTAAAGCGATGTTCTGGTTTAGCTAGAAACACAAGGGAACCCTCGGAAGAGACATGGATTTTATAGGCATGAGGATGCACACGATGACACAATATCCTTACAGTGTTCTGCAAGTAAAGCAACAAGACCAAGCCCTGAGGGGAGAATGAGAAGAAACATGAAGAGAAATACTAGGAAGCACAGAGAAGAGGGGAAAATAATACTTTTTGAAAGTTCATAGAGTTGTTAATTGCTCTATTAATTTTATTATTGCTATTATTCTGAGATACCTACATTAGTACCAATGGTATTTGAGGAATAAGTCCAAGCTGCACTGAAGGCATTGACAAAATAATAAGGCTCCAGGCAATGCCATTTGAAGTGTTTCAGTACAGTGATGCCGTGCTGACAGAAGTCATAGCATTATGTTAAGAAGCACGGAAGTTAGCTATCTGGCCAACCAACTCGAAGAGAATCATATTTGTTCCCAAATCCAAAGAAAGATGATCCAACAAATTCCAGAATTTATCAACCAATATCACCATTATCCTATCTGGGTAAAACTTGGCTGAAGATAATTCTAAAATTGTTGCAATGGGATATTGATAGGGAACTACTAAAGTAGAGCCAAATTCAAAAGAGGACATGGAACAAAGTATATCGCGGCTGATGGCAAATGGTTCTTGATGGAAATAAGAGAAAATCAGAGAGACGTTTACCTGAGTTTTAATGACTATGCAAAGGTTATTCAATTGAATAATACTTCATAGATCTCATGTAGAAACTGTCCATAAATAGGCATTTGACCAGAACAAGAATACTGTGTGGTTAACTCAGGAAGTGTGTATGTCAGGATGTATACTTTCACCATGCTTATTCAATCTGTACGTTGAGCAAAGGATCTGAAAAGCTGGATTATAGAGAGGTGTGAGGCCTTTGGAGGAAGGCTCATTAATAATCTGCAACATGCAGATGAAACAACTTTACTTGCAGAGAGTGAATAGGCCTTGAAGCATTTATCTATGAAGATCAAAGAAATTTAGTATAGATAACAACTCAATGTAAAGAACATGAAAATTCTCACAACTAAACTAGTAAACAGCAAATGAGAAATGGAGACCTGAAATTGTCAAGGATCTCAGTTTAGTTGGGCTCACAATCGATACTTATGGAAGCAGTAGCCAAGAAATCAAATAACATACTTCACTGGGAAAATCTGTTGCACATGACCTATTTAAAGTGATAAAGAACAAAGATAATATACTGTGGACTACAGTATACCTTACTCATACATTGGTATCTTTAATTGCTTCATATGCATGTGGAATTTGGACAATAAATAAGGAAGACCAAAGAAAATCGATCCATTTGAATTGTGGTGGTGGCAAAGAATAATGACAGCACCATGGACCACCAGAACAAACAAATGTGTCTTGGAGTAAATGCAGGCAGAATGCGCCTTAGAATCCAGATGGTAAGACTTTGTCTTATGTACTTTGGACATTTGATCAAGAGGAGCCAGTCCCTAGAGGAGGCTATCATGCTTGGTAAAGTAGGGGTCAACCAGAAAGACCCTTCATTTAATAGATTGACGCAGTGACCATAACAATGAGCCCATAGACAACCATTGTGAGGTTGATACAGTGTTTCCTGCTGCTGTACAAAGGGAGGCTGTGAATCAGAATTGACTGGACTGCCCCTAACAACAGCAAAACATATTAGCACCTACTGTGATAAGTGAAAGAAATCCCAAAAGGACTTTCCCTTTTATGAAAAAAGTCACAAAATGAAACCAGAATTCAGGCGTTGTTTTCCAGTGAGTTATTAAGGGAGTAGCAAGCCCCCCCGTGCAGCAAGAGCGGTGTCTCCAAGCTCCTTCCCCAGGAATTATACTCCGTCTTTCAGCACCATGATGCCATAGCTTTGACTTTTGTGGCAGTTCTCTGAGCAGGAGTCAACTCAATGGTAGTAAATTTGGTTTTGGTTTGGGAATGCTCAATTTTTTTTTCTGTATAAATTAATGATACTTACTCTACACCATTTTTGCTTATAAAACGTTAAATGGGCACACTCTACTTTAAGATAAAAAAAGACTCAAAACAAAAAAAACTTCACTGCCACCAAGTAGATGACAGCTCATAGAGACCCTTTAAGATAGGATTTCCAAGAATGTAACTCTTTACTGAAGTAAAAGTCCTGTTTTTCTCCCGCAGAGCAACAGGTAGTTTCAAATTGCTCACCCTGAAGATTGCACCCCAATGAGTACCCACAGTGCCTCCAGGACGCCTCTATTTCAGGAAAGCAGAGGAACTCTGTTTTGGAAAAATGAGTGGAGTGTGTCCTCTTGTGAGAAGTCAGTGAAATGAGGTGATATGTCTGCACCCTGGGCTTCCGGGAGCCTCAGAGCACGGATGCATAATTGCGCTGTTGGAGACCATGAGCAACCTAGCTCAATGCTGGGCACAGAGAGGGGCCGGGGCTGTGCTGCTGTGGGTTCAATCAAATTTATATGGTCTCAGCTAAAAGGCTGTTGAGAAAGGCACACCTAGATCGAAATCCCCATGGTGACTTCCCAGGCGTCCTCAAACTACGGCCCCGGGGCCACATGCGGCCCGCCGAGAACATTTATCCAGCCCGCCGGGTGTTTTTGCCCCGTTTGTTTTTTAAATAAGATATGTGCAGTGCACATAGGAATTTTTCATAGTGCTTTTTTAAAACTATAGTCCGGCCCTCCAACGGGTCTGAGGGACAGTGAATTGGCCCCCTGTTTAAAAAGTTTGAGGACCCCTGCTTCAGACAGGTCTCTTTTTTGAAATGTAGCTTCCCTTCCCTTGTGGGATCTCTGTGAGGACCAAAATGAGTTCCCACTATAAGGTTCTGGCACTGTCTCATGTCCAGTCAAATTTATCACATGGAACCTATCATGGCTATTAGTGATGCATTGAATGGGGTTTTTTTTTAATCCTCCTGTGGTTTCAAACTTGGCTATCATTCCATTTGTTAATTAGTTCTCCAATACTTCTCTATTTCTGCTGCCAAGACTGGTAAAGTAAATATATTAAAGATCATTTTTTAGTGAAAGGTGACAGATTTATGCGATCAGAAGGGAACCCAGAGTATTAAAGATCATTTTTATAACCTACTTCCAGCAGGGATGGATTCTGATGAAGGTGTGAGATTTTCACTGCTGATCATTTATATATGCCTTGATGTCTCTACACTTGGCACTATGACTGCATTTTTTAGAATGTTACAGTATTCAAGACATGAAAAACGACGACTTGCTGATGAAAATAAGGTTTCATCCCTTTAGTGATCTAAATAGAGAATCCAAAATTAGATTGCAAAGAATAGAAACCTACAGAGCATCTTACCTTAAAGTGTAGAGGATTTTCCCATCATTCCAGATCCGAAGGAGTTGATTTGGTGTGGTGATCCAATGGGCCTCTGCAGTCTTAGAATTTCGGAAGATGGTATCTGGGATCCATATCAACCCCACCATGTTGCTATTCAGGGTGAGGATCTTCATCGTGCTATTGAATCGAAGGCGGCTATCAGTCCAGGTCTGAGCAAAAAATATATCAATTTGATATTCCTAAAACAAATCAGAAGGAGAAAGCAGGCCTGTTAATGCATTTTCTGGATGCCTTTTTGCGTGTGTCAGAAGTTTGTTTTCCTCCATGATGATACTCTCACGTCCCCACTCACCTTAACATTAGGCCTAATTTAACATGGGATACACTTGACAGATGTTAAATAGCACTACCAATAATAGTGTGATAACACATGTGGACATATGTTTCAAAACATTAAATTGTAATAAAGCATACATATATATATTGAAAACTTGGAAAACATAAAAAAATATCATTGTAAGTGTGGATGTAGACCTTGAATTCACAAGTCAAGCCTTTACAGGGGTCTCGTTTCGCTCAACCATAAAATGGGGAAAATTCCAGTGCTTAACTTCTAAAGGTATTTGAAAGATGAGAAGAAGTTATTAAATTCTTAAACAGAACAGTTACTTCTTGTCATAAAGTAAGCAATCCATAAAAATTAGCTCATGTGATAATAATTATACTTTGTTTCAGTCAGGAACGTCCTCATAAAATACAGCTCACCTGTTCTCACCTTCCAAATGCCTCTCCCCACCTCCCCGCCCCCAGAAAACAAGGAAGAAGCTGAAACAGCAAACAGCTCGAAGGGTTCTCGCTACCTGGGCGAGATGCTGAGCCAAAAAGGCAGCAGGAGGGCTCCGATATGGAGGCAGGTTCTGAGCTTGAGAAGGCCTCCGTAACTGGTGTCACACACGCCTCCAGGTGCTCGTCTACACTAGACACCAGCCGGGCCATTCTTCTAATCGCATTTCTCTTATGGAAAGCTGAGAGTTAGTAGGCTTTTGACACCAGGATTTCTCCATGTTACTGATTGGCGGATACAGGCTCTTAACTCTACAAGACCCTGTGTTAGTAAGACCTGCTTTTCTCTGCCAGAACTGCTTTCAAACTGGCCAGCTGAGGTCTTTTCTGGTTGTAATAACTTCATAGTAGTCAAGGGAATAAATTATTATCAAACCCTCTGCATTGAAGACTATTTCAACTACTAGCCATCACTATAGTTGCTGTGAATCTTCACAGGAGTAGAGAGCCGCATCTTCCTCATTAGTGGCTTTGAATCACTACCATTGTGGTTATCAACCCAATGGTTATCTCCTAGCACCAGTAAGATTCCTTATGAAATACACTAAATAGTAGTTAATACATGCTAATTAACATTCATTATCCAACATCTACTTGAAAAGCAATGGTACATGTATAAGACAAATGTCCCACCTTCCATTATTACAGGTGTTAATTTTGACACATATTCCACCCACGCCTAACATGAGCCACCATGCTTCTGCTCTTCAATTCCACAGGACTTGACACCTATTTCCGGAATAGGCGAAAAGGAACCCTGTGACTTAGTTGCTAAAAGTTCTACTGCTAACCACAAGGTCAGCAGTTTGAAACCACTCTGTGGAAGGAAGCTATCGCAGTCTGTTTCCATAAAGATTACAGCCGTAGCAACTCTATCAGAAAGTCCTACCCACCCTACAGCTTGCTATGAGTCAGAGATTACTCAATGGAAGCATGTTTTTAGCACTCTTTAAAACACATTAAAAATAAAGCAGTTGTGAGTAGACAGAAAGAAACAGCACACATGCTCACATCCTCTTACATTCTCTGGCTCAATGATTCCAGTTCTAGAGCTTGCCAAGGAAAGGCACGTACACGTGCGTTGGAAGACGGCAGGCAGGCAGGGAGCTCTCAGGAGAATCTGCTTGAACTTTGCTCCCAGCATTGCTTCTCCAGCCATTCAATCATTGCACACGCCGGAGCCTCTCTATCCTTCATCTCTACTTGCTCTGAATATCGAGGAGACTTTGGCTCCTTCGAGAAACCCCATGGAGCAGTGAGCTTAGCATTTGGACTGAGAACTGTCATGTCAGCAGTTATCAACAAGAGACAGACAAGGATGTCTGCTCTAGTGAAGAGGAATCATCTCAGAAAACCCAGAAGCATTTCTGTTCTGTCCTATTGAGTCACTGCAAGTCAGTGTTTAGACAAGCGCTTAGACAGTGCTCAAAGAGTCCTTACACTACACATACATGGAAAACACATGGACACTGAATCAATTCTGACTCATGGTAGAACTACCATATCCCCATAGGGTTCATAGGCTATTCTTTATGGAAACACATAGTCATGCCTTTCTCCCACAGAGTGGCCAATGGGTTTAAACTGTTGATCCAGAACTTTTTAAACAACTGTGCCACGGAGTTCCATGTTGCTTACTTAGGAAACTGAGATCATTTCATGTGGAATCAAAGGCTGGAATGTTACCCATGAGTGAAATGTGTGGCAAAATCAACAACCATAACAGCTTGGAAGGTAGAACCTTTGTCTTATATCTGTTTTGTTGCATTTTGATTTAAGAATGGATAAAGGCTATTTATTAACATGTATTTACTACTTAATATAGCTCCGCCACTTGTCTGTCAGTTTTTCCTACTGTAGTGGCTTGTTTGTTGCTGTGATGCTGGAAGATATGCCATTGGTATTTCAGGAAGCTATGTCCCTGGCATTTCAAGTGCTAGAAAGGTTGCCCAAAGTGAACCGGTTTCAGTGGGACTTCAAGACCAAGAACAGACTAGGAAGAAGGAATTGTCAGCCAACCAGAAGAAATGGCCACTGAAAACCTTATGGATATTTTAGACATGCTGTCAGGAGAGACCAGTCCCTGGAGGAGGATATCATTTTTGGTAGAGAGGCAGCAAAAAGAAGGAAAGACGACAAGGAGATGAACTGGGACTGTAGCAGCAACTATGGGCTCAAGCATCCGAACAATTGTGAGGAAGTCAGAGGACTGGGCAGTTTCCTTCTGTTGTGCACAAGATTGCCCAGGGTCAGATCCAACGCACTGGCACCTAACAACAACAACACAATGCATTTAATTGTGTACTATTCCAATTAGTACAAAAATCAATGATCTCCCTTGGCCAGCTTGAAAGTAGTTGTGGAATAGAAAAGCAAGATATATCGAACACAAGGTCTCTAGGGTAAAAAGCGGTCTGTGCTCCATCCCCATCCCTGTCAGCAAAGCAGTAACATTGACAAATGGGTTAACATTCTATTAAATTACAGCTTTGTAGAAATCATCGAACCCAATACTAAATGGATTAAGTTCCCACACTCTAAAATCTTTAATGACATAGAAATTACTCAAGGAAAAGAGACTAAATGTGACTATTGTACTAAAATTTAATCAAGTTACCAGGATTTAGTCTAAAAGTTGTTGTGTTTCAGCCACTTTGGTGATAACAAACAACACTGCTCACCCCTGTATTACAACCACGATCTGTTCCTTGTAATCCATGGAGTTTCCACTGGCTGATTTTTGTAAATAAATCTCCAGGCTTTTCGTCAGAGTCTGTATTAGGTCTACAAGCTCAACTGAAACTTGTTTAGCATCATAGCAACATGCATCCCTCCACTCACTGAGAGGTGCTGGCTGCACATCAGTTGCATTGACCATGAATTGAAACTGAGTCTCTCACATGGTAGCCTGTCTATCAATAAAGCACTCAAACCCTGTCGCTGTTAAATCCAGTCCAATTCATACCAAATGTGTAGAACAATGTATAATCGCCCCATATAGGGTTTCTAAGGCTATAAGCTTTATGGAAACAAACTGCCACTTCCTTCTTCCACAGACTGGCTGGTGAGTTTCAACTCTGGGGTTTCAGCTAGCACCAAGCAGTTAACCACTACCCTAACTGAAGCACCACTGCCCACTCTTCAGAGAGAAGGGGAGTGAAGTTGACAGCAAGGCAAGGCTTGAGAGTGAAGACAAAAGGAGCACAGGACAAGGAGGTTGAGACAGAGGAGCAAGGAGACAGAATAAGAGAGAGGGATAGAAGGCACTGCGTGCAGCAGCAGAGGCAAGGAGGCACTCTGGGAAAAGAACCCGAGACTTCTCTAGGAAGACATCTCACCCTAGACAGGTCTCTGCAGGAGTGATTCGGTGAATTCCGGAAGCACTGCAGGTTGGCAGCTGGGGGTTGTATTGATCTTGTTTTCCCCCCCAAGCTCTATATGTAAAGTGCAGGCTACGGGCAGAAATCTTAGATAGTATTTCCTCCTAATGTATAGCTTTGTGGATCAAGGGAGGCTGGGCTTGGGCTTGATTTAGGGACCAACATAAATGCTCATAAGTTTGACTTAGGGCTGTGCCTGGACTGCCCTTTTGGCTTATTGCCTCCCTTAAAGAAGGAATGAGTATATGAGGGGGTTTCAAAATATTATGGGAAAATGCCATTATCTTTTAATTCCATTTTTCCATAAACTTTTTGAAGCTTTCTTGTACTTTTTTTTTTACAAGGGCAGAGTGAGAAAAATATTCCATGGCTGAGTACAGATCATGGTGGCTTTTAGTAATGTTAACTCAAAAATTCAGTTTCCCTTCTTTGAGGCAAATAGTACAATTGCCCCCATTCTTGCTCTAGAAGTGGATATGGTCTTCACATGATATATGGTGAAATACAGCAGAGTGGCTTATGTTACTCACAGGAAAAGCTGGGCGAGTAGGTGTGGAATCCTGACAGAATGTGTGGAATAAGAGTTCCAGTTAAAAACTTTGTGTGGTGCACAATAGAAACTTTGTGTGGTGCACAATAGACAGGTTGAGATAAGCAATTTCCACTTTCCCTTGAGTACCATGTGATTTAAGACTGAACAGATTCCTTGCTATTCTTTGTCTACAATATTTGCAATAAATTCAAAGTTTCTTGAGAAAGATTGATGGTTTGATTTCAGTCCAAGGCAGCTCAGAAGAAAGGACTGGAGATATACTCTGAAATCACTTTTGTAATTTTCACTGATAGATACAACTTCATCTTATGCCCTAACTTCAGCTAATGGTAGGGTCTTGGATATGTTTGAATCTGGCTGAAGCATCCAGAACACACTCCTGCAACAATAGTGTGTAGAGGAAGTGTAGTTAGTCTCGGAAACCCACAGGGGAGGGCTCTACTCTTTCCCCTAGGACTACTAT